TGTGTGTATATCGGGGGTACGGGGGAGTCTGTCTCATGGTGTGTATATATCCGGGTATGGGGTAGCTTCTTTTCTGAGTGTATATACCAGGGTACAGGTGAGGCTCTTTCAGGTGTTGTATATCAGGGTTATGGGTGTGTGTGTGTGTACGTTGGGGGTACAGGGGAAGGCTCTCTCAGGTGCTGTATATCAGAGGTATGGTGAAGGCTCTGTGTGTGTATTGGGGGTACGGGGAGGCTCTCTCATGGTATATGTATCGGGGTACAGGGAAGGCTCTCTCAGGTGCTGTATATCAGAGGTATGGTGAAGGCTCTGTGTGTGTGTATTGGGGGTACAGGGGAGGCTCTCTCATGGTATATGTATCGGAGTACAAGGGAGGCTCTCTCAGGTGCTGTATATCAGAGGTATGGTGAAGGCTCTCGGTGTGTGTGTATTGGGGGTACGGGGGAGGCTCTCTCATGGTATATGTATCGGGGTACAGGGAAGGCTCTCTCAGGTGCTGTATATCAGAGGTATGGTGAAGGCTCTGTGTGTGTGTATTGGGGGTACAGGGGAGGCTCTCTCATGGTATATGTATCGGGGTACAGGGAAGGCTCTCTCAGGTGCTGTATATCAGAGGTATGGTGAAGGCTCTCGGTGTGTGTTTATTGGGGGTACAGGGGAGGCTCTCTCATGGTATATGTATCGGGGTACAGGGAAGGCTCTCTCAGGTGCTGTATATCAGGGGTATGGTGAAGGCTCTCGGTGTGTGTGTGTATTGGGGGTACAGGGGAGGCTCTCTCATGGTATATGTATCGGGGTACAGGGAAGGCTCTCTCAGGTGCTGTATATCAGGGGTATGGTGAAGGCTCTGTGTGTGTGTGTATTGGGGTACAGGGAAGGCTCCCTCAGGGTGATGGACAGGTGTGAGTTGACAGCTGCACTGTTCGTCTCCCTGCACTGTGACGGGATAGTCAGTGCAGCCTCGGGCCCTTCTGTATGAATGGCGTAGTTGTTATGTATTCGGAAGATGCTCACTCAGCGGAGTGGAATGGAAAGACTTTTAGCGTCAGCACAGAGTACGTCTGTTGTATGCGGCTCGCACACACAGACTGTAATTTCCACACACGGAAACTCGGCTGCTTCTGTTGGTTAAATCTATTAGAAAGTGGTCAGCTCAGGAATGCTGTGACTACCCCTCCATCTCTGGCTGTCACGCCATCCCACCGCTCTTCATTCCTGGCACTTTATGTACCACCCTGACACACACACAAGGGATAGCGGGCACCTCTCACTCAGTCTACCCATTTCTGGTAACCTCTGTACCACCCTGACACACACACCGGAGACAGCGGACACCTCTCATTCAGTCTACACATTCCTTGCCACCCTCTGTATCATCATTATACACATCAGGGACAGTGGGCACCTCTCACCCAGTCTACCCATTTCTGGTAACCTGTGTACCACCCTGACACACACACTGGAGACAGCGGGCACCTCTCATTCAGTCTTCTCATACCTTGGCACCCTCTGTATCATCATTATACACATCAGGGACAGTGGGCACCTCTCACCCAGACTCTACCCTTTCCTAGTACCCTCTGTACTACTGCCATACACATAAGGCAGTTGGCATTTCTCACCCAGACTCTACCCATTTATAGCACCCTCTGTACCTCCATCATACACATCAGAGACAGCGGGCACTTCTTATCCCGTCAACCCATTCCTGGCACCCTTAAACATTTGGTATCTCTCACTCAGACTGTATCTATTCCAGGCACCCTCTGCCTCTGTATCATCGTCATCACATATCAGAGACAACGGGCACTTTTTACCCATTCCAGGCACCCTCTGTATCATCATCACATATCAGAGACAACGGGCACTTTTTACCCATTCCAGGCACCCTCTGTATCATCGTCTTAACACATCAGAGACAGTGAGCACTTCTTACCCATTCGTGGCACCCTTAGACAGTTGGTGCCTCTCATCCATACTGTACTTATTCCTGGCACCATCTATACCACCATCATATACACCAGAAACAGCAGATTACTTTAACCCAGTCTACCCTTTCCTGGCACCATCTGGACTGCCATCACATACACCATAGACATCCAGTCTACCCATTTCTGGCACCCTCTGTATCATCCAGACACACGTAGGAGACAGCGGGCACCTCTCACCAAGGCTTTCCATTCCTGGCACCCTCTGTACCATCCAGACACACTTAGGAGACAGCGGGCACCTCTCACCAAGGCTATATATTGATGGCACCCTCTGTATCATCCAGACACACTTAGGAGACTGCGGGCACCTCTCACCAAGGCTATATATTGATGGCACCCTCTGTATCATCCAGACACACTTAGGAGACAGCGGGCACCTCTCGCCAAGGATATATATTGCTGCCACCCTCTGTACCACCATCACACACTGTGTGTTGTGTATGTTCCTTACCGCCGTCTCTGGTTCCTGCTGGCCTGGGTGCAAATGCTGGGCGCCAGATTTTTTTGTGAAATTGGAAATATATACAACCACACAGCTGATGATCTGGTGGGAGCAGCACTGAAGAGGGGGAGGCGTGCCCCCCCCCCCCCCC